ATTTCAAAAGAAAGTTTCCTTTATTTTTATGTGATTTTACATTGTTTAAACACAACCCGATCAACCCGAACGGGTTGGGTTGGGTTGAAAATTTTCAAACCGCCAACATTGGGTTGGGTTGTTAAAACGGCTCCACACCGATCAACCCGGGCCGTGAGCACCCCTACCTGCTTTGCAGATAGCCCAAAGTCTCTGCATTTGAACCTCCGTGGCCACAAGGGGATTTTTATCCTCCTTGAATTTGAACCTGAGACCTCCAGGTACTTTTGACCTTGTGATGTCTTTCTTCATTTATTAAAGTTTTGGTTTTTATGTTTCAAATGCTAAAACTCTTGGTTTGTTATTAAAATTTTAAGATTCAAGTTCTAACCACCAATCGAACAGGAGTTCTTTGTTATTGTTCGTATTTTTCACAAGATTTACTACAAACGACTATGATTACATAACTGAGAGACGCATTAACCAAACTAGCAATTCATGACGAACACGTCCATTTTTAGCCAACTTTTTCATGCCCGAACTGAAATAACGAAGATTCCACCAGTGCCCATCTCGTAATTTACGAAATGCACTTTTCATGAATAAAATATGATTCTGGTGGGTCATTTCACAAGCCACACAGGAGATTTCACAACACGAAATGACATCTTCCAAACTGCCGCTTCCATTTCACAAGTCGTTGTGCCCATTCCACAAGCCACCATGCCAATTTCGCGCCGATCCAACCATAACTATATTTAATTTAGAAAAAAAGTATATTTCACAAGTTGTAAAACGGACACTTCCAAAATGTAAGCTATTTTGGTCAAATTTTTTTAAAAGAATAGCAAAAAGGTAAAAAAAAATGTGTCCAAAATAATTAGTTTAATCAATTTTCTGAATTTAAAATAAATTAAATTACACTAGAAGGGTACTCGCACAATGCAGTGACATACATCTCGATTTTTTTTGTCTCAATCGATGTTATAATACGATTTTATGTGCTTTTGAGATAATGTTTTTATTTTTGAATAAAAATATAAATATAAAGATATCATAAAAAAGTGAAAAAAAAAATATTGATATTATTGCTAAATTAACTATTTAAAAATTCTCGTTTTTTTATATTTTTATAATTCATTTTTTATATTTTTTATTTAATAATATAATTTTTTATAAGATAATAATTATGTATTTTGTTAGAATTCAATAATTATCCTAATTATATTTTAAATTTTTTATATTTAAAATATGATATTTATTCTCTATTTGATTATGTTTATCTACAGTTAGTTACACGAATTCAAACATAAGACTTTAGTAGATTGTACTTACGCACAATTTACTCATAATCTTAAATTTTAAGTAATATACATCAATAAACAGTATTTTATATATAAAAAATAGTTTTTAAATTTTTTATCAAATGATTTATAATATAATTAAAAAAAATGCCTTAAAAAGGTTGTAAAGATGGGAAGGACACATTGGGCAAAGGCATGTGTGTTGAAGTGGGTGGAGCATCATATATTTCACCTTTTTGCAATATCTTTCTTTCTTTTTTAATTATTAGGAGAATCCTCATTAATGGCCTTTGCCCACTTTTTTTAAATATTATATTTTTAAAAAATCAGTAAAAATACAGTCGTTTTTATAAATGTTGTATAAAAACGAATGTATATTACTGAGTAAATAACTTACATTCTTGGTTTGTGTGGTTTATGGGTTTTAACGGTCTGGGTCTCTAAAATAAAATATCTATGGATTGTATCATTGTGCTTTCCATTTTATAACGTGTTGGGTCCCTAAATCTGACTCCATTCAGAAAATGTCGTTAGATGAGTTAAATCAAAGGGGTATTTTAGTCATTTAGTTTATATTTTCTTTTCTATTAAAAGTTTAAAACCACCAAAGATCCCTTTGATTTAACTCATCTAACGGCATTTTTTAGATGGAGTTAGATTTAGGGACACAACACGTTATAAAATGGAAACCACATAGATATTTCATTTTAGGGACCTAGACTGTTAAAACCCATAAACCACAAGGACCAAAAATGTAATTTACTTAAGAAATTGTGTTATTTTTGTTAACGAAGAAAAAAAAAACACCGGGCATAATATCTAAGAAGAATATACGTATGTTTGTCACAGTTATAAATAACATGAGTTGTGATGTGATAATAGTGTCAAACTATAAGCTTAGGTTTGTAAAGGTACGGGTCGATACTTAAATGTAGGGGTAAGCAGCGGAACTGAGTATCCACTTGCGGAATCGGAACTGCCGGTTTCGGAATCAGAACCGATATGAGTGGTTCCGGTTCCTACAATACGGAACCGATTGACAATGGTTCCGGTTCCTGTTCTCAATTTTTCAGAACCGTTACCCGCCGGGACCGATTGTGCAGGGTTTTTTTTTTTATATTTTGTGTAGTTTTTTGTAAAAAAAATGTGCAGTTTTTTATATAATTTGTGCAGTTTTTTATGTAATTTGTGTAGTTTTATGTTAAAAATATGTGCAGTTTTTTATATAATTTGTGAAGTTTTTAGTACAAAGTTTGTGCAATTTTTTTTTTATATAAAATTTATGTAGTTTTTTGTTAAAAATATGTGCAGTTTTTTACGAGTTTGTGTAGCTTTTTTAACACTCAATTATTCACAGGTACCGTACGAGGTTGAGGATGCGATGAGTATGCAAGAAGTTGAAACAAGATTCAGAATTTGAGATACAATGATTCGTATTTTTTCAAATTGTGTGTTTAATTGGATTTGTAGTATGTAATCGTTAAACTTTCAACATTTACTATTAGTCTATTATGGTTTGTAATTGTTAAACAATATTTGTAACCATTATTCCGTATAATTTGTATTATTGTTTATTTATTTAGTGTTTTGGCAATGTTTTATTTTTTATTTCTAAATAACAAAATTTTAATATTTTAAGAAGCGGGTACCCGGCAGTTCCGGTTCCAAAAATTCAAGACGGCTCTAACCGGTTCCGGTTCCTGTCAAATAGGGCGGGTACCCGCCTATGCTCACCCATACTTAAATGTAAGGGATGGTTATGTAAATGTTGGTTGTACATAAAGAATCCTATTTAAATTAAATGGTTATAAGAGAAAAAGGTGATGTATGGAGTCTTATCGAAGGAACATGGAGGAAATTGAGAATAGATAACAGGTGCAAAAGGTCAAAACCCGACCATACCCGAAAACCTTGAAAAACCGACCCGAACAACCCGATCCTAATCACCTGATTGTATCCGAAGTTCGAAGTCTGAATTTTAGGCAAGATATATCAGTTCAGGTAGGCCCTTAATGTTCGCCACTTTGATCCGGCCCAAAACTTGAATACTTTAAGAAATGCCAGTTTTTTTTATTATAGAAAATGTTAGTCATTATAATTTTATACATATATAGTTAATAGTAGACCCGAAATCCGACCCGATCAAACCCGACACTCGGCTAGGCTTGACAATCGAAAACCTATTCACCCGATCACAATATTCAGGGCCTATATATCCTACCCGAAACTTGATGGGTTTTTCAATTTCCTCCCAGACCCAACCTGACCCATGCTCACCCTTATCCGGTCCCACACGAAATCCACCTCCAAGGACATTAATGTAAGAGACATTTTTTTGTCTCAGTTAGTGGTTGAGGCTAGTGGAGGGTCTATTTGGCATTTAGGTCGTCTCATCCTTTTAGAACACTAAACGCACACCTATTACATGTTAAATCCATACCTACATACCTACAAATATCCTTCTCACATAGATCAACATCAAAACTTACATTTTCCGCTTTCAATGTACGATTTGATTTGATTTTAACATAAATATATGTACATATAACAACACTTTTTTCTATGAAAAAAATCTCATTCTTCCAAGATATGATTGATGATCAACGGAGACATCAGAGATATATTTTTTAGAACACCGATACACATTTCTACTTGCCAAAAGAGGTATAAACAACTGTTTGTCTATCTATCTATCTATCTATATATATATATATATATATAGAGAGAGAGAGAGAGAGAGAGAGATCGTGTTTCTTTTAATTATTATTATTATTATTATTATTATTATTATTATTATTATTATTATTATTATTATTATTATTATTATTATTATTATTATTATTATTAATGAAAGATTTTTTTTAATTTTTTTAATTTCAAGCAATGCTACCAACGATGGGTGTTCAAGTTTGGTTTGTAACCCAAAATCAAAAACCAAATAAAAATTCCAATTTACAAAAATCAAATTATTTTTAGGGTTTTCAGTTTGATTTTTAAGGATGGATTGAGAAACCAAAATTTGAAGTTGCCTTAATTTTTGAATTATATAATTTCAAATCAAAAAATTTTCTTTTTGATAACTTTCTGACTTCTTAATTTATCGGAATTACTATATGGATTTCCGATATATCTCCAATTTTCAGCCCACTCAAATCAAAATAATAAATATACATAAAAAATAATTTTTTTATTACAAATTTAATAAAATACTTGAGCTGATATAAACATCTATATGAAATTTGTTTTTAATTAAGATGTCTTGTAACAAAAATTCATTTCGATTCTAAGTGTTTCAAACCAATTGAAAAGTCAAATTGAAACCGAAAACCGAACCACAAATTGAATTCGGTTTTACAAATCAGAATTGAAATGACATTCGTTTTTAGTTTGAATTCGTAGAAACAATCATAAACAGAACCAACACAACCAGCAGAAACCCATTTCAAAACAATCCACAAAGACAACATTCACATATGAATAATAAATACAAAAATACATTTATTAATATGAGATTTCTCTTATTCACACATTATGCCATCTTGTTCATCATCAAACAAACAAGACATTTGAGTGGGCAAGTTATTCAAGTTTTTGAGTCCTTGCAACCATACACGGCGGAGTCCATAACCCCAAAAAACCGTAAATATAACTTCTTTTATCCTCGTATGAGAGACGACTATAGACATAAAAAAAACACTACGTCATATCAAAATCAAGAGATGGGGCCTACATGCCCTGATCGACGAGGTAATCGCCCAACCTCTCCACCACCATGTTGCATTGACCTGGAGCCACTGGCTCGTCGTAGATGCCAAACACCATGGCTTGACCAGTTTTCTTGATGCAGATCCCTCCAGCTCCCTAAAAATTCAAACACATATTTAAACCCGCGTTAAACTTCAAAGATCATGAAAATTTCCTAAAATAGTACTCCATCCGTCCCAAAATCAGTGTTCGTGTTTCTATTTGTGTATGTCTTAAAACAAGTGTCCAGTTTCAAAAGTAGATGACTAATTTCCAATTCTACCCTTCATTATGAGATGAGAAAAGTCATTGTTCCATCTACTATCAAGGGTAAATTCGTCTTTTGTTCGTTAAAAGTGAAATTTATGCCTTTTTCATTGAAGAAGGGAATAGTCAGAATACCTTCTTTCCACGAATGACAGCTCCAGGCTCTCCTTGGATGACCATGTATTTTGCGCCACCAAGAAATAATCCCGTGGGGGCAAGATTACCGGGGTCGTTGAATTCTTTGATGATAGCATTAATTTCTTCGGGCTTAAACTGAAAAAATAACAGAATAAAGGAAAGCATGTTTAGTCCACCCAGTGAGGTCCTTATAACTTCCATATAAGTGCACTTTGTATAATGGCAAAGCAGACACAATGAAATGACAAATGTACCACCATTTTTACATATTTTAAGGTTGCATTAGATAAAGACGGTGATTATCACAAATTCCCAATGGGAAGTCCTCCTCTACCATGGGGTTTACGTTTTTAGGATAGAGGCCATGTCTGCATACATCTCATTCATTTCAGACCCTTGCTTTCGAGCAGGATATACTGAATGTGAAGTGATGCATTGTTTTATAATCAGGGAAAAGAAACCGTAAAAAAGATATTGTTCAACATTTGATCAATGCTACAATACAAAAGGGAAAGTTGGTGTTGAAAATTAGGGTTTGGAACCTGAAATACATGATCTTGTCTATATAGGTTTGTTTTGTATCTTCATCATAGACATAGAAAAATATACAAGTTATCCAATCATGAAAGCAATTAATGTGTTCTACCATGGTTAATGAAGCTTAATGGTGCCCTAAATCACAAAATCTGTGCCTTATCATCTGTAAACATGTTAAATTCATATGAACAAATTGTAATATATCATGATCAAGTTTATCAATCCTACATTCATAACATAATATTACAATTAAGAAACTAATGATCAGATTCAGATCCCTAAATCAAACTAGATCAATATTAAGCAAAATTCATCGAAATCAGCACCTTAAAACGATTTTGTTGAGTATATCAAAAACAGAAATCAGATCACGATTCACAATCACACCTAACTTCAATCGATCACACACATATAGTTAATGAAATCAATCTCTACACAAATTATAAAGACAGACCTGGGGGAAGGAACCGCTCTTAGCCCAGACGGTACCATCGGTGCCAAAGATGGCAGCGGCGGTGAGATGCTGACCGCTACCTTCAATGTCGCACATCAAATGCTCATCAACGTAAGTTTGCCACGACATTTTGAATAGTTCTTGATTGAAATCTGCTGTGAAATCTGCTGTGATTGTTTCGAATTTGCGAGTGTAAACGATGAGGAAGTATGAGATTTAAAATCGAATTCAGGGTTAATTTGAAGAGAAAAGATGAATGTGTTGAGTTGAGATGGAGCGAGCTTCTCGCCATTGTTGATGTTTACCTCCATTCAATCACCTCCATTTTCGCCCGCCATTTTTCAAGGGCTTCCCTTCCTCGTTACCAAATTACCAAAATACCCGTTCAACTATATAATTATATTTGAATTCCATTTTTAGTCCTTATGGTTTGTTAAAATTTACGATTTAGGCATCTTAAACACATCTATTACATTAATGGTCCCTAACTTTTACTTTTCACTAGAGAATAGAGATTGGATTCGTGAAGTGGAGATATGTGTCCTTCACATGAGGGTAATTTAGTCTTTTACTATTCCTCTTCCTCTTTCATCCCTTTCTTTTCCAAACCAGATGAACATGAACGTTTTAACCCATAAATTATGCAGTTATGCAAGGTCGAAAAAGTAAGCAGATGCATATGTCAACGATGTAGATGTATAAACCGGAAACAAACGTGATTACCACGCAATGATAAGTTTTGTAGTGTTTAAAAACGTTGATTATGATCGACTTTTTGATTCTTTTACTAAAACAATTACTTATATGTAATATTCAGTTTTCTAATGTCTAAAAATCATAATTAAAACCATAAGGGGTGGTGTATGATTGATTTGAGTTTGGACTCCTAAGGTCAAAAGTGGCTGGATGTCTCAGATTCAAATCCCAGAAGAAACAAAAATCTCCTTGTGGCCATGGAGGTTCAAATGTGGTGACTCCGGGCTATCTGCAAAGCAGGTAGTTGCCCTGGAATTAGTCGGCTCGCATAATTATAATCATTTTTCCAATCAGTATTGTAGAGTTTGAAAACTAATTGTGATCAGTAATTTTTTAATATCATAGTTAGATTTGGAGAAAAATATAAAACACAATATCGATTTATTTTAATAATAAATAAGATAATTTAATCATTTATTATTTAGGCAAATAATTATCTGATCATGAATTTCTTTAAAAAAACACATCGAGACATCCTTTAAATTCAAGATACGTGCACAAGCAATAAACCAAGTGCGAATCTTCACAAGTTAAGTAAACCTCGTAGAGACCTTGGGGATAGACGATGGACCCGCCATTCGACCATAGCATCAGCCATCAGGTGACCAAGTATGCGATCCTATCTGTACAGATTTCGCAAGCTAGCCTAAGGGGTGCTTTCACCATCCTGCCTTGCATTCCAATTAGCCAATTAATATCCATGACTTGTCTAGCCTAGACCTTCGACCTTTCCTTTGGGCAATCTTGATCTCATGGCTCCTGGGGACTCATTATGATTATTCCGAGAATCTAAAATTGCTTGGCTGACTCGCCAGCCCTTATCCAGCTCAAATACTAGTGAGGTAGACAACCTGCCCCGTTGTCTCTGACATCGACCCGGTGAAATTGAATTCTCCGTGAAGCCTCAAAACATGAGAGCTCAAATCAGCAAGAAATGTTGTTGGCGGTTATTGCGTCTCTATGGGTCCCTGTTGCACTCAGCAATCTTTGTTTGCACCTACATATGACGCAAGATGATTCCATATATCGAAGTCGTGACAAGACGGATTCAACCCGAACGTCAAGACGCCATCAGTTTAGATTTGAATAAAGTAGCGCTTTTTTATTTATTTAAAAGTGCACTATCTGAAATATATTTTAATAAAGATATAAATATTATTTAATAAGAATAAAATAGAGTAATCTTATCACAATAATTTTGTAATAGTTAAAAACGAGAACCTATAAAGTCAATATGAATGATGGTGACAAATTAGATTAATGAGTAGAAATTAGCAAGATCGATTGGAAAAATAATTGTGAGTCTAACAAATATATAAAGTTGAAGGTTCATATGGTGTATTAGCAAGATCGATTGAAAAAATAATTGCAGACATGTTAAGTTTCTAAACCCATATAAAGTTGAAGGGTTGGGGTGGGGTGCATGCAGGATCTGAAACCCTTTCTGATATTGTTGTTCCAAATTTCAATTTACTTCAAGAGAAAAAAAAACTTTGAATTTGAATTTGGGTTCAAAATAGGAAACAAACAAAGTGTCAAACAACTTTAGGAAGACCAAACATATATTTTTCATGTAAATATGACTTGCTTAAATATGAAACTTTGACCAAACAAATGGTATCTTTTAAACATTTGTACATTATGCATAATAGTTTGTACTTAAGAGATTTTTGAATCTCTTGCATAAATTGATAGTACTTTATGCTTTAAGACTTGTAATTAAGACTTTTAATCTAAATGTTTATTAATGTAGTATAGATATTTAGATTAAACTACAAATTTGGTCCATCTAGTTTGTCAACAACACTTTTTATTCGTGTAGTTTCAAAACTATAAGATGGCTACATGGTCTGTAAACACGTCTATTTCCTTTAAAGACCGTTAAAAATTTATGTTACATGAGAGGCATTTTCGTCCTTTTATCCCTTTTTTTCAACTTTTAGCTAATCAAAAACCAATAAAATTGAATTTGATTGGGTAAAAGACAAAAAAAATCTATAAAAGAACGGAAATACCTCTCCATTAACAAAGTTTTTTTTAACGGCTGGTTAGAGGACTTAAATCATTGACCGGAGAATGGGATAGACCCTCGGAGGGCCCTCGCTCTAAAGGGTTGATGACAGCTATCCGACAATCCATACCGATGCTAGAATAGCTTTTCACGTTCAATAAAGAAAAACTATTTCTTCGTAGAAGGCGAGATTCTATATTCTATAGCAACTTGTGATTTGACGAGAGTTCTTACCAAATCTTATTTATTTATTCTAATTAGAAATACGGCTGAAATTGGTACTTTGAACTTGAAACGACTAAACTTCCCTCATCTCCTAATGGCGGGAAGAATGATTACCAACGCTTGCCTTCGAACCGTGCGAAACGATTGCATATTACACAGCTAAGCTGCTTTTGATGCAGTTAAAAACAACCGACACGAGGATAGTTTTTTTTATTTGCCTAATTTCCAAAGGGGCATAAATCTTAACTCGTAATGCCCCTGGTGAGTTCGAAATGTGGTCTTGTGTGTATCATCTTAAGAATAAACCTGGTAGTGAAACACTGTTATGTTCACCCTCCTAATCCGAATGTCGTTACTAATTATGATGACCATAGTTTCAGGATCGAATGAGACCCCAATCAGGCTTTTTCGAGGGCGCATTAAAGAAAAAGTTGGCTTAGTGGGTTCTAAAACTAGACCTGGCGTATTAAAGAAAACGCCGGTTTGGACTTTTTTGTACATCTCTACATGCAATGTGAGATATGCAAATCGTGTAGAAATGCCAAGTCGTCCTCTAAAAGATTCATCGGTAGCTTGTATGAGGAAACCACTATATCAAGACGACGAATACTCTTTACCGAAGCACAAACCCGAAATTACAAAACTAGTTTTTGAATTCAAATTTCGAAGAAAGAAGTTCAACAAAAAAAAATTCACCCACCGACTCGGTAAGATCTTCCTCTAAACACCCCGCTCGTATTGCTGCTGGACTGAGGTTGGGTATTTGCTGGAGCTCCAATTTTGTACCTTGCAACCATTTTACGTCTACGCGAGCCATGAGTCAAGAAACTTCGAAGAAACAACCTTGTTGCAAAAGTGCACATACAATGAATATATTACCATCTGATTACTTTGTGTGTGTTTGGTACGTGGGACAGATTGAGACAGAACAAAACCTGTTGTCCACGTTTGAGGTGACATACTGGGACAGGACTATATGTTTTCCCTCACCAAAATAGAGGGAACAAGAGATAAGACAAGATTGGTAAATTACTAAACTGCCCACGTCAAATTAATACCTTAGAACCATCCACGATTCTTTCACATGCCTACCTCACTCTCCTCCGTTCAATCTGGTCCCGGTTCATGCGCTTGGTATAAGGGACAAGATAGGCAGTACAAAAACTTGTTGTCCCACCAAAGATGCATTTGACTGGGACATGACAAGACTGAAGGGCTGTTTGGCAATTGCTGGATGGTTTGGTGCAGAATAATTAAGTAGTCAGAATGATTAAGAGGCTATCATGATATAGTGCAAAATGAAATATAATTGTTTGGTAATTGTGTATAATAAAATTAGGGCTCTTAATGGTTAAGGGAGATACATGATACAAAATCATTCAGAGGGTTTTAGAACCATTAAGAGGCATACTTTTTTTTTTGTCAAACAAGATTCACCTCTTAACGATTCAGAGGTTGCCTCTTAATGGAACTATTAAGAGGTAAACAAACAACCCCTGAGTAGACAGAGTTTTTCTGGCCCACCAAAATAGATGGAACAGAAACCAGGCAAATCGGACAGGGATAGGGACAAGATTGGTAAATTTCTAAACTACCCATGTCAAATTAAAACCCTAGGACCAAAAATTCCCCCGTCTACCTCACTCTCGCACGTCTTGTCCTGTCCAGTCCAGTCCGCGTACCAAACGCACCGTTAAGGTTCAAGAGAGAAGGGCGGGGGAGGGGGATGGATAACGTGCAGATGGATTCATAATTAAACAGAAAACAGGAATTGTGCAGAAAGGATACAACCACATTGGCGTCTGCAATATGTTCCTTCCTCCAGCCAAAGGATGCAGGACGGTCAAGAAGTAATATAGATGCCCAGCCAAGATACCACACAGATCAGGGCCAAGTGGTGAACCGAAAATGACATCCATAGCAAGCATGGCCCATGGCAAATAGAATGCCTGTAAGTAAATTATGGGAGTGTGGACAATTCAGAATCAAATAAACAGACTTAGGGGATGTTTCCCAAATGCTTACCAGGTGAATTTTGGCAAGGACCGAGAATCTTACCAGGTAAGAGGCATGGCAACAACCGAGGTTCTTACCCAGTAAGTGAGGAAGACTTATCCAGTTAGCAGTCACGGGATAAGAGGCTTGCAAACAATCCATTTTGATGGCTGAGAATGTTATCCAACAAGGTAATAGAGGTGGCGACTCTTGCCGGTAAGTGCTTACCCCAATAAGCATTTGGTAAACGGCCCCTTAATGATCAATTAAGTCCCAATACTGAAAGAGAGTTCTATGTTTTGTTTTTCCATGGTCCAATGAGGTGGAATGGTATGAAGATTTGTAAGACCATAGTCAATAACAAAAGGAAGAAAGATGAAAGAAAAACATACCTTAAGTTGCACAAGACCATAAATGTTGATGGTGGCATTTGGAAATTCCCTGCTCCACACATAGAGGAGCATAAACACCAGTGATACCCCCATAAAGTACGACTCAAAGAAAGGAATGGCAGACAAAACCTAAACATGAAAGGTAACTTTAGACGGTGAAAAGTTAAACCAATAGCATGTAAAAATATGACGCTTGACCAAGTAAAGATATCTTGAAACAGGCAAAAGGCAGTTTGAGAGGTTGGGGGATGATATCAGATGAAAAGGCGATTTTTTTTCCTTTTCCCAATTTGGAGCATAAGACATGCACTATCATAATACTCAAGAATCACCATATAGAAGAGTTTCTTTATGATCGAACATCTCACATACCAAAAGTGTTGATGCTCCAAATATCATCATCCACAAGAAGTCTGCTGTACGCCTGTTAAATGGTCCACTCTCCAATTGAACTCCATATCTCAATCTGAAAAAAAATCCAAAGAAAATTAGAGCAAGTCCATACTAGTGTCACAACTTGCACAACCAAAAAGAGAGAACTAATAGCAAATTGATGTGTAGGATCAGAAGCCACTCCATTCACTCACATCATTAACAGGCGAATTCCAAAATTTATAGAGAAAGGGCCAAGAAAGATGAAGTTTGTAAGCAGCCTCCACACCTAAAAGATCAAAATAGAACCAAATGAAAATCTACTGGTTACAGCACCTGGCACAAGTATAGCAAATAACTTGAGAAGCATCATGCCTTTCATAAAATAAAGATATGATAAAAATAGAAACTAAACAAAAAAGATACACTAAATCTTTTCATTCCAACTTAAAGCAACAAAATCATATCCAAACATAATAATATAGTGTGACTAAGCGAGAGACTAGTAGGGTTTCATTTGCCTCGACTATTTCATTTTGACTAACACAAAGTTACAGCCTTCTCATAGATACGTTACATCTTGTGTTCTATTTTTTTCTGTTATGGGTTTGAGATATGCTTTTATACATCTGTGCTCTTACCCTCATCAAGGATGGGACTTCATATGGCCATAAATGTCCTGATACCTGCTCTGTGTTCTTGTTTGATCCTTTTCAGAGACGGTTTTTTTTCCCAAGCCCACTTGGTGTGATATCTATCAAAGGGAGGTTTTCTGCTATGTCTTTAAGCCGTAACTCTTCCATTTGATTCCTATAAGAGGTACTTTTTTCTTGTTCATTGTCTGTGCTTGGTTTGCATGTTTCTCTATTTAGTGAGGTTTTTTGTGAAGTTTGGTCAAGGGCTTGTGCTGTCTCCATTGCTGGACTTTAGTGCTACTTCCCCTACTCTGGTTGTTTGTTTTATGCTAACTATAAAGAGTAAAGACATATTCTTGCTTGTTCTATCCTTGAAGAACAAGAGTATTTATTAAGATTGAAACCAGATTGAATATTGATGAACATTGAGATGTAAGGGATCGTGGCTTGGGGCCAAAAACCTCTGTTTTTGTTTATTGATACTGGAACACTTAACTTTACAAAGTGCGGACAAAAACAACTATTTAAACCTATGCAAAGCAAGAGCAAATAACAACACTAGTCCCTATACTATGAACAGTCATAAACAAATATGATATCTAGTATTTAATGTTTCTTTGGGACTCTTAGTGACGTGGCTGGAAAAAAAGGGTATTTGCCACAATCTGGAGAGCCCCACCGCACCAGTCCCACGGTCATTATGGGGGAGGTAAATCACGCATGTATCCCATGGCGGAGGGGTGGTGCCGGGATTGAACGCGAGATCTCACACATATAGATTACACCCACAACTCTACTGCGTACATAACTCATTTGAAGATATTAACAATGCTGCCAAGAGTGCCTCGTAGTATGCTGAGCATCATTGCCAAGACATATATATGAAAAATGTTACAAAGTCAAGTGCTATTTAATGTTGCCTGAACCATGACATGATATAATTATAAAGGACTCTTTGTTGCTCTCATTGACTTTTTTTACGTACTGTGTAAAAAGAGGGGAAAAACGAAAACTGTTAATGAGAGAAACATGAATGATGGTGCTTAAATGTGCCAACTTTCTGTGGTGCTGCCACTTTGATGTAGGAAAGAAGTGTGTAGAGTGAGTAATGTTTACAAGTTGGTACAATATTCAATTTAGAATTATCTTCTCTAATCTATATTATACAAATAATTAAATATACAAAACCTGCAGACAGTGTCAGGAAGATACAGGTCATGGGTCTTTTGGACCACTTCTATTCAATAAATTAAATAATGTCATGTTAAAAAGAAGTGTGCCAGATTGAAAGCCTCATACTACAGGGTCATAGCCAATAAGAAATGCTAAACTCATGAAGAATATAATGGATTTATATTTAAGACCAGGTGAACTCAATCCCTAGTGATTAAGTTATCATTGTGTATATTCGCAGTGGTTTTGAGGGCTGATGCATCATAACCTTTAGAGAGAATGCTTGGGTTGACACTTTAAATTACTAATGTACAATCATTAAGCATATGAATAAATAAATTCTTGGTCACCCTGAAACTAAACCGAAACAAGTCAAGGTTTCGGTTGTAGATCTGAATAGTTCACTTTTGGTCTGAGGCACCCTTTGTCTAAGTCAAGCACAAATGAGGCATGTGTTATTTCTTCATAACAAATTGACCATCAATAACTAATAGGGGCTGTTTACCAAACACTTACCCGGTAAGCGCTTACTAGTAAAATTCAACACTATCACTTACTTACCGGGTAAGATTTTAGTCAACAAAAACGGTATCATATGCAACAATTTACCCGTTAAGTGCTAACCGTGGTAAGACTTGTCGCCCTCACTTACCGGGTAAGACTCTTAGTCCTTGCCTCGCTCTTACCGGCTAAGATTCTTGGTCCTTGCCATATTCATCATGTAAGGTAATGTGACTTGCTTAGCACTTACCTGGGTAAGCGTTTGGTAAACGTCCCCTAACTCAAAGGAGTTACACAAGGTTGGGTATGTTCACATCCTCCTCGACTAAGGTTGAACATAAGAAGAAAGGTCATCTTAAATGGCAAGCGCAAAAGCGAATTGCACACCGCTTCACCTGATGGCACTAAACGATAGCTCACAACTCAATTTGGGATTGGTGGTATGACCAGGTGACTCCATTTTACTTGTAGAACAGGATTTTATTAAAGCACGACTATGTCATTAACATTGCTGTCCATATTAAGTAGACCTTTTCCTACGTCTTAACATTTAACAATGTTATAATCAAATAATCTCCTGAAGAAAAGTGAAATAAGTTCCTGATGACTTGCAACAGAGCCCATACCTGCAAGTGATAGAACACTTCCCCATAGATCAATGCGATATAATAAATAGGCAATAGCTTCAACGTAGCTGCTGTCGTAGTCACCAAACACAAGGTACCATAAGCCTTGGTTATGGGAGGAAGTGAATTGTAGAATCTGCAATGAGAGATACAGAAGAAAGATAATATAATAATGCCCAGCCAAACACCAAAAAGATTTTTAAATTGGCAAACATCAGATGCAATTCTAACACCACGAAATGGTAATGCACATCATAAAACGTGAACCCAAACTTGCAAGAATTCACCAAAAAAAATTATAGAACCAGGCAACCAGCAACCTCCATACCAAAAAAAGAAAGAATTCACCTTTGAAAATTTGATAGTAATGTGTCACCATGTAAGCATAGATACATTTCAAGTAAAAGTAGATAGATATCATTATAAATTTCTATAACCAAAAAAACCAAATTGATGTTGAAGCAATAATACAGCCGATTAGACACCCAATTTTACAAATGGCTGAGGAGTGTATTCAAGATGTCACAGCATCTCATGTCAGATGCTCAGATCCATGATAAGATATCGAGTTACGATACTTTCACCAAATGTTTGTAAAAGCCAAACATTCAGCATTACGAATTCACAATAATCTATGTGAAATGTTCCTTTTCAGTCACCAGACATCCTATGTCTTGTAAACGCTGGCATAACGCTACATGCTGCTTACAACATTAAATGTATCTGTGGATATAACCCCCACAGAGAACTCTCAACAGACTTCTCTATAACCTTCGGTTATATAGCACACGAAATAGAACAAGTAATGGAGATATGTAAGGGAAGAAAAATAAATGAAGATCAAACACAAGAACACAGATATTTACATGTTTCAATTAATTGATCTACATCCAAGTTGAGAGTAGAAGCAATTTCAGTACATCAAAACACGAATACAAAGGGTTTGCCATTCAAGGCTAATAAAAGGGTCCAAAAGTTGGCCCATTCCTCCGTTCTCGAACAAATCTCATTTTCATGTCAAAAGGGGTCGCTCAAAAATATATGGGGTTGAAACGATCATCCTTCAATTCTTAAAAGAAGACATGATTAACACCTTCCTAGATTCTATTCTACAAGTAATATCATCTCAACCCTCTATCACGATTACTAATCAATGCCAACTAACGAAATTGGACACTTTGCCATAGTCAAGTCTCAAGTGTCTACTGTGCTACTCTATTCAATTTACAACCAGAATTACGGTTCTCCTGCACATCTTACTACAATATTCGCATTTCATGCATTTTGTTTATTGCCAGCTAATTTTGGAGCACTTAAAAAGCTTTATTACACCCTTTAATGATAAGCCAAGGTAACGTCATCGACAAAACATTCAATGCTAACCATCTTCTGCCAGTTCATCTGAATCATCCTCTATAAACAGCTGAATGCAAGCAAAAGTACTTTGCAAGTTGTATATTTCTTATGCCATATATAAGTTTTAGATATTGTTATAGGGTTATAGCTCTGAGTACGCATCATCAATCATGCCATCATATCTTGCTGTAAGTTGTTTCTCTGCTTTAAATCCACCAATTGATGATGCTTCCGATGCAAATCCATTCGAATACTAGGTTTCCACAGCTTGCAAAACATATCTTTAAGTCAACAGCAATATAGCATGGCAACTCTTTATGGTGCATAGTTATTTCTCCAGTTGTGTTACCGTCACTAAGAAAATGAAAGAGGGGAAAAAAGAATCTGATCCCATGAGCCCTGCGAGCTCACGTGTCGTCAGTGATGGTCAGTCACTCGGAGGATTTTATCGATCGGGCTGAACTAAGCGGACTATGATGAACTGACATGCATAATCAAATTGAGTAGAATCCTCTACGGTTTTATAGCCATTCCTGTGCTTAGCTCAAGCTTCCTCTTATGCTCAAAAAATGTACGGTTACCTAAATAAGGGAACAGCATAATGACTCCGAATATTATACAATAAAGCCTCTTATTCCAATGTTCCTTTTCTGTACTCATGTTGATGCTTAATCTTGACAATAGACACATCACTTGCGCCATTATTTTGCAAATCTATGTCTCCCAGTATCCTTTCAATCAAATTCACCAAAGAAACCATAGGAGACTTTGGTCATAGCTATTAAGTCTTCTTCTTTGAGTCTCAATACATTCACATTTTAAATCTGCAAGTTGGATTCCACCCTCACTTTTGCCTCTCCAACAATTCAAATACCAGGCTCTGGTATCTGATGTATACACTTCACTAAGTAAAAATAAAATGATTAAAATCTTAATTACATCATATTTTACTTGGCACGTAACTTAAAAATAGCATGAACGCATGGGTAAAATGTCATCCCTACATGTGTCTGTGTGTTAACTGGACTATGATGGACACTATTTGCAATCTCGGCATCCACATGCAAGCCTCCTCTTATCTTCCTAATTAGTACTTCTTTCTTAAATTCATTCATAAACTACACAATTAAGAGTGTAAGATTAGGGCAAGATTGGCACACAATCAGACAACTTGCATCCCAATTCCCAATACTTCCACTTTCTAGTTTCTACATGCCCTTGGCTACATACCTACCAAGCTGATTCTGATCCATACAAGCCCTAGTTGTGCATTATGAAGAATAACAGTAAAATCACTCATTAAGCCTAGCGCCAACCAGAACTTGACGGACTAATCTGACTATAATTTAAGTTCTTAAAACCTTCAAATTAAACAAGCAAACAAATTTTCATACAAACTTTCAATCAGGCATCTAACTTGAAAATAACCACTTTCAAGTTCCAACTCAAACATGCTAAATCATGAAAATTCTAAATTAAACAAAAACATTTATACCAGAAATGAACAAAACTGGCTAAAAGTACAAAATAAAGAAGACCACGTTCCAATTGAGCAAACCTAACGATAATTCTTCAATTAACAAAACTCAAATTAACATGAATTTCACCAATTAATCCCCAACAACTATCTAATTGGCAATTCAATCTACACAGCATCTCTCTGGATCATAAAATCAAACAAACAACAACTAGATGTATTTCAAATAGCTAATTAACTCGGACATAACGTAGAATAACAAGACGAGGTGGTTACGTCACATATATAAAGGATTGCACAAAATTCAATCAGCTAAAACTACAAATTACTAACAAAGATCAAACAAGATGCATGAGATTTAGAAAATTACTCAGCAGGAGATGACATTATAGCAGGGATGATGCAGCGACGGATTGATTTCTTGATGAGAAAGAAAGAAACGACTCGTGATGCGAGTATTTAACTCCCGATCCGGGAAGGTAGACAAGTTTTGTATTACCAGAAGCTTCGTCATGTATCCGACCCGTTTTCAATTTCGGGTGGGTTGACTATAAATAAACTAATCTAAACAGAAAATAAAAATGTTTATGCAAAATTCAAATGACTCAAAATTCAAAAAATAAAACCCAACTTTTGGGAATATTTGGCTTGGAACCAAGGGGTTGTTTACCAAATTTTTTATAAAGTCTTGTATGTATAAATTTGTTTGTCTGGATAAACGAGTATTGTTGTTTACTTTTTTTTTTTTTGAATCAACAGTCTGAATAACATAAATGATCGATTTACCCTCCAATATTAATTATTTGAACATCAAAACAAAAAAAAATCATAAAGAGGCCGACAATTGGGTGTCGCATATGGGAAGGAGGCGATGCTTTAAATAAGGGGTAGGAGTGTCATTTTTGTAGCTGAATGATGACAACACCACATTTTTATCTGTGTGATTAAGCCATGTTCTGTGCGAATAAGCTATAAGTAAACAACCCAAATGAGCTGTGTGAATAAACCAGATAGACCAATAAGCCTAATTAATCCCCAAGTTTGATTTTTGGTGATGCAACCCGTTCAAAAACTCAATATATATATAAAGAGAGAAAATGTTTCAAATGCAACATATCTCATTTGTATGACTAATGCGACTCAATCAAATGAGATATTTATGGAAATGATGAAGGTTAATTTATTATGATTTAGATATTTACGGTAGAGCTCACTAGTTATAATGCGTGCTTTATATTATGCAACAATCAAGATATTTAATGGAAGGACAAATTGCATGAAAAAATATCGTATTTTAAATTGATTCCTATTTTGGGTAACGTACTTTTAGAACTTTCATTTTGGTAACTAAAATGTAAAGTTTTAAACATTTAAATACTCGGGTAACCGGTTGAAGACTAATTTTAGATTAAAAAATCCATGTCAATAACCACGTCAACAAATAATATTGAGTTGTATATCATATCACTCGTCACATCAGCATGATAACCGGTTAATGTTTCAACCGGTTACCCGGATACTTAAATGTTTAAAACTTTACGTCTTAGATACCAAAATGGAAGTTTTGAAAGTACGTTACCGAAAATAAACTTCACGTTAAAGTACGTTATTTTTTCATGCAATTTGCTTTTTATGGAATTACATTTTCACTACATTAAATAGGCACTTAAGATTGGGTTCAATGATTATACAAATTGCATAGGTTATATGTATATAATTTTTAATATAATATAAATTTATTTATTTATATAATTATCTTTCGAAAATATTAAATCCTAATAGGCCATGCACTTCTCCAATTGGTAAATCTACTATTAATCTCATGAATCCTTTCAATCAATTAAATTCATTCTTAATATCGATTGAATCTATACATCTAATAAATAAGTAACTTTTGGGATACTTGTTTTGTTTCTGTGCGACGGTTATTGATTTTTTACGCCTAAACATGTATCTAGACACAATTTTCACTTATTGTTCAAATAAGTCTATTCAAGTGACATTTGTCCCTCTACACGTTTATTTTCCTGTTTCCGTGGTGTAACTGATTTCCCAGACTAATTAGAAATCTTTGGATTTCCATTCCTTAGACTTACAAGTCTGAACTCATTTTTCTCAGTTAAAATTCAGAGTTGTCTGTCATACTTATAAGGCATACCAGTATAAAAGTCTTAGTAGAAGTCTAAACTCATTTTCTTCAGTTAAAATTCCGAGTTGTCTTCCAGATTTGTAAGACATACCAGTATAAAAGTATGAGGACAAGTTTGAACTCCTTTTYYTCRGTTAAAATTCAGAGTTGTCTTCCAGACTTGTAAGACATACCAGTATAAAAGTCTAAGGACAAGTCTGAACTCTTTTTCCTCGGTTAAAATTCAGAGTTGTCTTCCAGACTTGTAAGACATACCAGTATAAAAGTCTGAGGACAAATCTGAACTCCTTTCCATTAGTTAAAATTCAGAGTTGTCTTCAAGACTTGTAAGACATACAAGTATCAAAGTCTGAGAAAATCAGAGTTGTAAGTTTGAATTTAACTCTAAAGTGACCTCCAGACTTCTAAGTATGAATGTAGGAATTCAAATGAAGTCTGACATGTGAATTTAACTTTGAAGTGGACTCTAAACTTCTAATTCAGACTTGTAAGTATGAATTTAGGAATTCAAATGAAGTCTGAGCTGTGAAGTGTTCCAAAAATCCAATGACCAAATCGTAGCTTTTCCCTCAAACGGTCGAAAACTGCCATACGACAGTTAAAAAACCGGGTTTTCAAAACAGAGTCAAAACCGGTTTTAAAATTTCAAATTCGGATTTTTGAAGCATTTTTCACAAATAAATATTACCCGGATTAAAAGCAATTTCAATTTCAAATGAAGTTTGAGCCAGGGGCTCTGCCCCTTGGACCCCGCCACCGGGAGCGCTGCCCCCGGACCCCCGACATTTAGGGGCTTCCCCCCTAAATCAAAATAAACCCAAACAATTGTGCACTTAGCACTTTCCTTACTTGTTCGATATTTATCATGATTACGTTGGTCAACAAATTAATTCCATTACAATTAAATAACATTAGTGATACAAATCACCAACATGAAGTTATCAGATGTTTGTTATTTCTCATATTTACAACATAACTCTGAATTGTTTTGTTCCAAACTTAGTTCTATAGTTTATTCCCAGATTTATAATACAACTCTGAACTTCTCTTCAAAGTTGAAGTTCAGAGTTACGTTTCTGAGTTATAAGAAATCAGAATTCTTGTGATTCAGAGTTATGCTCATAGATACTTTGTACACTTATATGACAACTCTGAATTCCTCTTATTCAGAGTTAAGTCCAGAGTTATTTTCCAGCCTAACAATATAACTCTGAATTCTTGTGTTTCAGAGTTAATGTTTAGAATTTTCTTTTAGACCTAAGGAAAAGTCTCAACTCATTTTCCTCATTTAGAATACCCCGTGTAATACACGAGATCGAACCTAGTATATATATATATATATATATATATATTGCATATAACTATATCGAACCCAACCTGAAACTCGACTAACCAGAACCTGAAGCAATCCTAAACCCGAAAACCAAAATATGGGGATTGGTTTTCATATCCGATAATGCAATTAAGTCTTTTTATTTGTCCACCCGAACTCGCCCAACCCGTTGGATGCACAACCCTAATAACTTGTATTAAAATTACACAAATGGTCCCTTAATTATTATATAACCTTCACTTGTACCTATTTAACGAACTCAGCCTTTGTTTAAGCAACTTATTCATTAAGCTATTTAAATACTTCTGTTTATAGTTTAAGCAACTTATTCATTAAGCTATTTAAATACTTCTGTTTATTAGGGGTGTTCAAAAAAACCGTCGGACCGCTCAAACCGGCCGAACCAAGTCAAACCGGACCGTTTTT